CACGGCGCCGCGTGCTCGCCGTCCCGCACTGAAACGACAGGAAGTGAGCCGCCGGGAGGAGGCGGGGCCACGGCCTCATGGGCGGGGCCTCGGGGGGCGGGGCCTCACCTGTGCTCCAAGCGCTAGGGGTGATGGAGTCGAAGGTGCTGGACGCGGAGCCCGAGGTCAGAGAGCTGGACGTGTAGCTGGGCTGAGACACATCACATGATGCATGACATCACTTCCTGTGAGAGGCCACAGCAAGCCGCCGCCTCCCAGCTCCGACTGGCTCCTCCCACTGCATCCAGAGCAGTGGGAGGAGCCAATCGGAGCCAACCAGAGCGGCTGCGACAATCACATTTCCTGTGAAAGCCTCTCACAGGAAGTGATGTCATGCAAATCGGAGCCAATCAGAGTGACTGGGACACATGACATCACTTCCTGTAAGAAGCTCCTCCCACTACATCCAGAGCTGTGGGTCAGTCGGAGCCAATCGGAGCGGCTGGGACAAATGACATCACTTCCTGTGAGAGGCTCACACAAGAAGTGATGTCATTCACATCTGAGCCAATCGGAGGCTCTGACACATCACATGACGCATAACATCACTTCTGTGAGAGGCCACAGCAAGCCGCCGCCTCCGAGCTCCCATTGGCTCCTCCAACTGTTCTGGATCCAGTGGGAGGAGCCAGTTGGAGCCAATCGGAGCGTCCGGATCCAACTCACGTGGCGGCAGAGCGGGGGGCCGCGGGCCGCGTGGGGGCCGTACGGCGAGCAGCAGTCAGGGGGCGGAGCCTGGGCCTGGAACACGCTGCACAGCATGGCGAGCGTCTGCACGTCGCTCATCTGGCTGTAGTGGTCCAAGCTGCAGAACCGGATCAGAATAGGGTCAGAACTGGGAACTGGACCGGGTCAGAGCCAGGTCACAATCAGGTCCGTACCGGGTCAGAAAAAGGTCCGAACCGGGTATGAACCAAGTCAGAACCGTGTTTTAATCAGGTCAGAACAGGGTCAAAACCAGGTCCAAACCAGGTCTTGACCAAGTCAGAACCAGGTAAGAACCTGGA